GCAGACATGGTGGCATGCACCTGTAGTCCCAGCTACTTCAGAGGCTGAAGTGGATCACCTGAGCCTGGGAGACTGAGCCAAGATCATGTCACTGCACTCTAGGCCTGGGTGACAGAGCAAGACCCCATCTCAAAAAAAAAAAGGAAATCCCTATTAGGGAAACAAGAATGGCAGCAGGTTGGTATCTGTTGATGATGAGTGACAGGTACATAAAGTTTTATTTCTACATTTGAAACTTTTCAAACTAAAATTACTTTTTTAAGTTACCATATATGAGACAAAGAAAAACTAAAAATGTCACTAGCAGATCTGCCCTTGAAGAATAGCTAAAGGAAGTTCTTTGAACAGAAAGTTAAAAGAAGGAATCCTAGAGGATCAAAAAGGAAGAACAACAGGAAGAGCAGAAACATGGGAACTATGACAGATAATCCTCCTTTCCTCATGAGCAGTTTCTAAATCTTATGTGATGAAACAAATGATACCCAACACAGTAGTATTTAAACGTGGAGATGGAAAGAGAACTAAAATGGAAGATTTCCACACTTCACTCAAATGGTAAAACACTAATACCATGTAAGTCAAATCTGTATACAGTATTGAGAAAACTATTCAAAGCAATTACACTAAAAAATCATTTTAAATAAATCAAGATGAAAATCTAAAAAATATTCAAATAATCCAGAGGAAGGCAACAAAGGAGAAACAGAAGAACGAGAAACAGAAAATAATAAAATGGCAGGCTTTGGTCCGAATAAAGCAACAATTGCCTTAAATGTAAATGGTGCATATGTACTAATTAAAAGGTAGATAATGGCAAAGTGGATAAAAACACAACCCAACAATACAGCAAGTAGTTCAAATTCAAAGACACAGGTAAACTGGATGAAAGGAAAAGGACAGAAAAAAAACAACATGCAAGCATTAATTTAAAAGCTGAAGTGGATATATTAATATCACATAATGCAGACTTCAGAGCAAAGAAAATTACTAGAGATAAAAAGTATTATATAATGACACATAATGATAAATGGATCAATCTACCAGGAAGACATAACAATCCTAAATGTGTAGGAACCAAACAGTGCTTCAAAATTCATGAAGCAAAAACTACTGCAGAGCTGAAAAAGAAACACAGCAGCAATTATATTTGGGAACTTTAACACCTCCGTTTTCAGCAACTGATAAAACTACTGGACACATGAATGTGATGAACCTGGTCAAAAACAAGATGAATGAAAGAAAAAGAAAATTAGAAAAGACAAAAGAAAATTTTAAAAATTTTAAGTTTTTAAAAAGAAAGAAAAATTTCTAATTTAAAAAAAAAAACTAAACAGGGGTATAGAAGAACTCAACAACACCATCAATGAATATGACCTAATTTATATATACAGAACAACCCACCCAACAATACAGAATATGTATTTTTCTCAAGTAGTTATGGAACAGTCACTGAAGCCATATCCTTGGGCCATAAAACAAACCTCAACAATTTAAGAGATATGAAACCATACAGAGTATGTTTTCTGACCACAATGGAATCAAATTAGAAACTATTAACCGTAAGAAAATCTCTGAACATTTGGAAATTAAGCAGTACACTTCTAAATAATCTATAGGTCAAAAAAAAAAGTCTCCAAGAAAATTTAAAAGTACAAAGAAGTGAATGAAAATGAAATTGCAGCAAATCAACGTATAAGAAGAACTATATACCATGACCAAGTGAGATTTATTCCAGGTATACAAGGCTAATTCAATATTTGAAAATCAATTATTGTAATCCACTGTATCAAAAAGCTAAAGAAGAAAACTCACAGTATCAATAGATGCAGAAAATGCGTGGGACAAGAATCCAACAACCATTCATGGTAACAACGCTCAGCAAGTTAGGAATAGGGGCAAACAACCTCAAACTGATAAAGAGCATCTATAAAAAACCTGTCCCATGGCTGGGATATAGCGTTACCTTAACCTCATTCCTAACAGTAAAAGACAGGATGCTTTCATCCTAAAATAGGGAACAAGGCAAGGCTGTCTGCTCTCACCACTTTTCCAACAAAGTCCTAGAAGTTCGAGTCTGTTCAACAAGACAAGGAAAAGAAATAAAAGGTATACAGCTCAGAAAGAAATAAAACTGTCCCGATTTGTAGATGATATGGCTAAGCAGACAATCTTAAGGAACCAATTAAAAAAAACTCCAAAAATAGTGAACTGAGCAAGGTCACAGAATACAAAATAAACATACCAAAAAAACCCCAAAAATAATAAACCTGTGGAAACCACAGGTGGAAACCAAATTTAAAAACATAACACCATTTACAACTACTCCAAAAAACCTAAATAATTATGTGTAAACTTAAAACGTTTATAGAATCTGTATGCTGAAAATGACAAAAAAGAAAAGAAAGAAAACGACAAACTCCTACGGATAGAAATCAAAGACCTAAAAAAATAGACATTTCATGTTCCTGGATTCAAGACTCACCATAGTCAAGAAGTAAATTCTCCCTAAACTGACTTACAGGCTTAATGAAACTCCAATTAAAATCCCAACGATGAGGTTTTCCATAGACGTAGACAAGCTTATTCTAAAATGTATATGGGATGGCAGAGACCCTAGAATAGCTAAAAATGATCTTGAAAAAGAATAAAGTGGGAGAAATCACTCTACCTGATTGATACTAAAACCTACAATATAGCTACAATGATCAAGGCAGTGTGAAAATGGCAGAAAGACACATAGATGAATGAAGAGAACGGAACCCAGTAACAGACCCACACAAACATGCCCAAATGATTTCTGACAAAAGCAATGCAACAGAGGAAAAAAAGTCCTTTCCAAAAAATGATGCTGGAGCAATTGGATATCCATAGGCAAAACAAATACACCTTGACCTAAACTTCACGCCTTACAGAAATAACTCAAAATTGAATCAGAGACTTAAATGGAAAATGTAAATATAACACCACAAAATGTTAGGACAGGAGAAAATGTTCAGAGCAACAGCAAGGTTCCTTATGGTGACAGAACTGATCTGTATCTTGACCATATCAATGTCAATATTCAGGTTGTTATTATATATCACATTAGAGTTTTGTAAAGTTTTACCATTGAGGGAAACTGGGTAAAAAAGTACATAAAAATTTCTGTATTATTTTTTACAAGTGTATGGAAATCTAAAATTATCTCAAAATAAAAGTTTAATTTTTTAAAAAGCTTTTCTGCAAGTTGGGATTATAGGGATAATTTAAGTCTGTACACCAAGACTTCATTAGTATCACTCTGCCACATTTTAAGAATATTTCCCTCTCCAGAGATAAAAGATTACCTATACTTCATTCAAATTACACTTTAGCATCTGACAACATACCCTAATAATCCAAGTACTAGCTATTTCATTAAAATACAGAAAGACAGCCAATGAATATGATTACTTGAACTTTAGAATAAAAATTTAACAATGAAGTACCCAGTGAACCTTTAAATGGAGTGGGGAGAAGGAACAACCATTCACAGAACACAAATATGAAGGATTGCAGGGTTTTGTTCATGTGTTTAGATTTTAAACAAGAACCCATTATCTTTACTAATTATAATAGAAAAAACCTTCCATGGCTTCCCAGTATCCTAGCAACAATGTGCAAATCCTTGCCTCATGTGCAATCCCAGCATGCTAGGCTCATCTCTCCAACTACATCTCAAACCACCCGCCTCTCAACACGGCATCCAGCTTCATGTAACACAAATATTCCAACATCTCTCCAACTTCAGGGCTGGGCACCTGCTGCTCCTTCAAGCCCAGAAGGATCTCTCCCTTTCTCCCTGCTTGGCCACTCCTTATGCTTCAGGTATAAACTTCACTTCTTCAAAGGGGCCCTCCAAAAGCTACTCTTTCTTAAGGAGCCCCCTACCTGCTGCAAGCTGTTTTCCATCTCATCATCTTGCTTATTTCCATCATCACCTAAAGTCTCCATGAAATAAGTACCTTGTATGTCTTATGCCTTGATTTGATTAGATTCTTTACCTACCTGGCACACAGAATTCAATAAATTACAGGTCAGTCTCACTCAAGAGCACTAATACAAAAATCCTAAATAAAATATTAAATTTAAAAATGTATAAAGAGAACAATATATAAGGACCAAATTGGGTCTATCCTAGGAATGCAAGGGTGTTTTTACATTACAAAATCATCTAGTATAATTTTTCCACCATCAAGATTTGAGGAAAAAACAATATGATTATCTCAATGAAGAAAAAGCATTTGATTAAAACATCCCATTCATGATTCAAAATTAAGAATTAGCAAATTGGCCGGGTGTGGTGGCTCACACCTTTAATCCCAGCACTCTGGGAGGCCAATCATGAGGTCATGATTGCCCAGGCTGTAGTGCAATGGCACGATCTTGGCTCACTACAACCTCTGCCTCCCAGGTTCAAGGGATTCTCCTGCCTTAGCCTCCTGAATAGCTGGAATTACAGGCACCTGTCATCATGCCTGGCTAATTTTTTTATTTTTAGTAGGGAAGGGGTTTCGTCATGTTGGCCAGGCTGGTCTTGAACTCCTGACCTTATGCTCCATCATAAGAGCAGTTATAGCGAAACAAGAAGCTGTGGGATTAGGATGAGGTGGGTGGGAGGCTTGGAGAAATTGGAAAAGTCCATTTCTAGACCCCAGGTCGAAGAGGATAAGGACAGAGGGTCTTCATCAGTTGCCAGGTCCCAACCTGTGTGGTCACATTCTAAACTACATCCCACCCTTGGTGACCTGTGGCAGGACAGGCAACTGCAGAGTACTAGTAGCCAGGGGACCTCTGCTCTCCCCTTTCCCGCTCCCTAGCAAGCTGTGCACCCTCCTCAAGGACTTAACCTCTCTGGTCACAAGCCTCTCTTTCCCCCACGTCACAGAATAGGCTCGTCAAAAGGCCGAGGACTAGCAGTCTGAAGAAATGATATAAACAAGGGCAGGGACACAGTCAGTCCGGTACCCAGTGTCATGCTGTACCTACCGAATGAATAAGACTAAGTTAGCTTCAGCACACTTTTTTATAAAAAGTAGAAAAGGTAACCACCTGCCAACCCTAACTGGTTCCTCTGACAATCAAACGTAATGGGTGGGACAAGCTATACCAGTGGATTGACATCACTATCTAATAACGTAACAAAAATGTCAGTGTGAGACAGAGTATTAGAAGTAAAGTGTCATTCAGCAAGGTTTAGTGAGTAAACTAGATTAGCAATTTCACATTCACTGAGTGAATTCACATCCACTGTGGCATCTAGTCCACACTTTAAGAGTAAATTCCACTATGAATACTTAAAGCATATCATTTCATCATTTGTTCTGAACCTCTGTTTCTTCAACTGTAAAAAGACAATGTGGGCGAGGCGTGGTGGCTCATGCCTGCAATCCCAACACTTTGGAAGGCCGAGGTGGGTGGATCACCTGAGGTCAGTTCAAGAGCAGACTGGCCAACATAGTGAAATCCATCTCTACGAAAAATATAAAAATTAGCCAGGCGGGGTGGCACGTGCCTGGATCCCAGCTACTGGGGAGGCCAAGGCAGGAGAATCACTTGAACCTGGGAGGCAGAGGTCAAAGTGATACTACTGCACTCCGGAGCCGAGGTGGTGCTACTGCACTCCAGCCTGGGTGGCAGGGCAAGACTCCGTCTCAAAAACAAACAAAAAAGGGAATGTGCTCCACCTCTTCTGTTTGTCCCCTTCAAATCCACCCTACCCTCACCTCCCTGTCCTGTGTCCCTGAGTATTGACCCCATGTACAGGTTTCCTGGCTCTCCAGCTTCCAGATGGGTCTGCCTAGCAGGAGGCACCAGCAGAAGTTTGGTGGGAGGAAGAGAGGGAGGTCAGGGTATTTCTTCCCCCATCCCAATCCTTGACAGGAAACTGGGGCTGCATCCCTTGAACAAAGTTGTCAGCAGCTCTCAGGTACCCTCTCCACACAACTATTCAGATCACTCCCTTCACCCCTTCTGGCCCAAAGATACACAACACATTCTAGCCAGGGATACTATACCTTCACTCCTTATTTCCCTACCCACATCTTTACAAACACCCTTTACTGACTTTCTCTCAAATCATCCTAATTTGAATGTGCCACCTATTTCCTGCTGAGATCCTGGATTATACAATAGATACCACCACCTCATAAGGTTACAAATGAGAGATCATGTTATGACTAGGTGCCAGGCACTGGGCTATAGTTACAGCTACGACAATTACATTATGCAGAAATTGTTGCTCCTAATCTGCAGATGAGGAAGCCGAGGCTCAGAGAAATTACAAAATTTGCACAAGCACATACAAAAGTGGAACAGCTAGAACAGAGGGCTTAACCTCCAGAATCAGAAACCTTTCCATTTCTATTATCACCGTAGCGGTCAATATTTTTCCTACAAGTTTCATCACCGCCATTATTCCTACATAACAAAATAAGATTCTCCTGCGAACGAGAGTTTATATTTCTACTGTTGGACGCGTGGTTAAGAGCGGGAGTTCTAGAGTGGGATCAAAGTACAAGGCCTGACTTGCAGGGAAGTGTTATCTTGAGCAAGAGACTTTCCTCCACAAGTCTCAGTTTCCTCCAGTAAAATGGGGATAGGTAGCAGGGCTTCCTTCACCGGGTCTGGCGAGGATTCAGTGGGATGACGTTTGCAAAGCGCCAGGCACGCAGTAAGCACTCAAATGACAGGAACTACTGTGATGAAAGCGGGTTTGCAGCCTTGGCGGCTTTATGGCCGCTGAGGACTAGGAAGGCGGGCCGGGATCTGGGAACCTGAGAACCTAAAGGACTTGAAGGAAGGTGCCCGCTGCCCACCCCCTCCAGCCCACCTGCTCCTCAAGCCTCTCAATCTCCAGCTGGTTCTTCTCCTCCTCTTCATCATATTCCCACTCGTACTCCCCGGGGGAGCTCTCCGCAGAGGAAGCCATGGCGTACTCATCCCCATCGCTCTCGCTCACGCCTTCCTCCTGCTGATCCCACCCTGGCCCCATGGTCTTGTACGTGGCAGCGGCCACAGCCCGCGATAACACCTTCCTCCTTGTCCTAGCCGCCTTAACCTCATCCTCCTCTCCGTCAGCCTTGGGCCCAGACTTGGGCTCAGCCTCGGGTTCTGAAGCCGAGGATGCGGCCGCCGTCGCCATCTTGCGCTTCTAGTGACTCTTGGGTCTTCCCGCGGCCGCCGAAGACCCGCTGAGGCAAAAGCTGCCCGCGGTGTGCGCCTGATCAAAAGCCCCCTTTCTGCCATTGAAAGGGAAACTGGGAACCTCAGATAACGGAAAAATCTCCGAATACACTAAATTCATATTATTATTATATCCTTGCAAAAGTTCCCATCATAGAAAAAAACTCAATAACATGGCATGCGTTCCGCCACAATTTCGGACAGAAGTTGGGTCTTTGGACAGGAAGTGGAGGCCATAGAGGAAATCATGGAGCGAGAGTGATGTCTGTAGTGAAGAATTTGGCGCCATCTTGAGAAGGTCACAGTGATTCTTAAAATAAATGCCTTACTTACCGCCTAGTGTGACCTGGCGCCTGGATTCAGTCTCCCCAGCAACTGCGCCTCAAACGGAAAGAAAACTGCAAGTCCTCGAGGAAGGATCGATTGCACCATTCAAGAGAATACTCCATTTCCCAAAGAGATTCCTCCTCTTTATGTAAACGCCTGGTACCTAGCAGGCGTTAAAATACACGTGCGTTATTTGGTTTTATAAGATCACATACTGCAAACCAACAGTAAATGATTACATTAATAAGCACTTCTTTAGAAATTCTTAGTTGCTAGGCACTGACATATAAATTGAGTTTGCTGTTGTTTTAGAGAGAAACATAGACATATATTCATTTTTTTTCAATCAGGATATGATATTTGTTTCCTTCTTAAGCTTCCCATGTTTGAGGTAGGAAAGTATTGATGTGTGTTTCTATCTCCATCTACCTTGCTCCCTCATTAGCAAGTTTAATTATGTCTGTTTTGTTGGATCCCCAGGTCTAGTAGAGCGCCTTGACACATAGTAAGTACCCGGCACAGGTGCTGGCTTCATGATGAAAGAGTTGTCCTCGAATCAATACAAAAGGGAAGGTTCAGGCTCAGCGAGCTGGTACCACTCGTCTAGGGACACACAGCCAGGAAGGAACCAAACCAGGATTCTAAATCCAGGATTACCCAAGTTCTAACTGAACCTAAGTCCCTGAGCGACCCTGGACGAGTGACTAAACGGCCCTAAATCTCAGCTTCCTTAGCTTCAAAATACGGTTAGGAAAAGTGGACTGGGTGGTCCTCTGCGCCGCATTCCAGCAGCGGGCTTTGTGAAAACGAACTTGAGCCCCCCACTGCGGCAGCCCGAGGTCCTCACAACCAGAATCAAGCACCCAAGACAAGACCTCCAGGGACTTCAGACCTTCCAGCTCCCGACCCCGCCCGCCCCGAGAGGCGTGGTCAAGGCGGGGTCAGAGCAAAAACGCTTGCACTGAACTGTAGGGCGCAGGCGCAAAGCCTTGGTGCCTTCAGAGGCGGGTTCCCAGCTCGGAGCCAACTGGCAGACGCGCCCCGCCCCTTGGCGTTGCTCTGGACCAGCGCAGGCGCAGGCTTAGGCCGGCAAGATGGCGGCGGCTGGAGGGGGCCGTCTGAGGCGGGCGGCGTCTGCCCTGCTGCTCCGGAGCCCCCGCCTGCCTGCCCGGGAGCTGTCGGCCCCGGCCCGGCTCTATCACAAGAAGGTAGGGACGAACGAGGGGTTGCGCGGAACTCCGACTCGGCGGAGGCCCGGGCTGGCAGGGCGGCCGCTGGGCTCTGCGCAGCCAGGACTAGGGGCTGTCCCCTCCCACGTCTGTGTCCTGACTCACTTTCCCTTGCTGCGCAGAGAGGCTGACCGCAACTGATAAACAACAGTTACCGTTCCTCGGGCGGCGACTTGTAGGGGGCCCTGCCGCTGACCGCGACTTCGTGCGTCCCAACTTTAAATTCTCCAACAGCCCAGGAGGCAGGGTCCTGTTGAGACTTGAGTTTCTGAGTCCGGCGACAAACACACCTCCGAAGCGGGCTCCGTCTTCAGCCACTCTGCTGCCCTGGCCAGTGGCCTTGAGCTAGTCACTGCGCCTCTCTGAACCTGTTAACCCAGGTGTAAATGGGGGGGCTCTCAGCTGTCCCTTGCGGAAGATATTGTACTCGGAGTCCTGGCACATTGGCCCTAGCACAAGGAGATCGTTTCTGTTACTGTTTTAGGAGTGCATGGGGGGTCAGGCTTGTAACCAACATGCGTAATGTTTTTGTTTTGTGTTGGATGGTTTTTTGGCGGAGAAGGAGGGATTGATGCATAGTTTACAGCCCCTTGCCGACTGGTGGCGCAAAGTCCCCCAGACGTGAGACTTTCACTAGAGAAACAAAGAATGCTGTAAATCAACCTGGCACAAAAAGCCCCCGGATAAGATACTGTCCTGTAGGTCCTTGTGCTTGGAGTCAAAATCTGTAGTCAGATGGGGAGGGAAAGGGAACTGGAGGATCGGGGTACTTACTACTGGCCAGTAACCAAACCTCAAGGTTATTCAGGCCTTCTGTGTGACTGTTTAAGTGGATGTTTATGCTGGTCTCGTTTCTGCCCTTTCGCCAAGGCCTTCACTCCTCCCCCACCCGGGGGTGTGTTCTGTTGAGGGTACACCCTGAAGAAACTTGGACAAGCAGCCTGTCAGCAGCCAGGGTGCGCTGCTGCACCAGGGTGATGACAGACTCTGAAATACAGTAATGGCACTGTTTTTATTTTAAAAGACACGTAAACATACACATTCCATAGCATTGTTCCTCTGTAACAGTCACCTTGAGGCTTCTAAGAAAGCTTTCCCTCCCTGGGCCATAGTTATTTTTAGAGTTTTTAAATAGTAATCATCTTTTGAGGATTGGCTTTATTTGAAAATAACAAAACTGCTGTTTGAGTTCAAGTCTGGTGACGTAAGTGGGCAGAAGTCAAGTATCTGTAAAAACCCTATGGAACTAAGACGTGATTTCGCCGATTTTTTTTCTAGGTATCTGAGATCTGTGAAGTAATTGTAGAGGAGACACAAAAGGAGTTGGGGTCACAAATGGTTCTCATTGACGTGAGTGTAGAGCTTTCTACTCAGGTGAAATTTGGTATTTAGTGATTGCCTGCCGGCTTCAAGTTGCTGACTTCGAGGAGCTTACCATCAAACCAGAGAGACCAGTACCAGTGGAGAATGAACGTGACTTCTCTTAACCCTCTCATTTTAGGTTGTTGATCATTATGAAAATCCTAGAAACGTGGGGTCCCTTGACAAGACATCTAAAAATGTTGGAACTGGATTGGTCGGGGCTCCAGCATGTGGTGATGTAATGAAATTACAGGTATGGCTAGTCTTTAATAGTAATAACAATCCCTTGGTTTACAAAACACTTGCACATACAGCATTTCATTTGGTCTCCATCTTTATTCCTATGAGATGGGATGTGTCCGCATCATACATGATTGGAGCAGGGCTCAATCGTGGCTCTCCTGCTAGACTAATATACGGGATGCCGACTTTTTCTGAAATAGAAAAGTAATGTCATTTTTTTACTCACTGTAACAGTTTAAATTCCAGCTTCAGCCAACTAAAGAGTTTTGTGAATTTTACTGATCAAAGGAAAATCCCAGTGATCTAGCAGTCCCCAGTGAGACAAGAAACACAGTAAATTAAACCGGTCCCCAGACTAGGGGCAACATGAAGATAGTGTTTAGAGCTTCAGGGAAACTGTAGCTGTAGCGCTACTCTGCTGCTTCACAGTGAGTGGGCAGCTTGCCAGAGGTCTTCATACCTGTCTTGGAATACAGAAACAAAGCAGGAGGAAACCTCTAAGTATAATCTGCTGCCCAAGAAAAAAGTATTAACTAGAGACCTTTATTGTGGACTCTCTCAGTGTTTAAAGAGGCAGATTGCCCCAGTAGCTGTGAGCAGACTTCCTCAAATAGAAGTTCATAGTCAAAATGCAGGCCAGGGTTGCAAAACAAAACAAAATTGGGGTGGAGAAACATATTTTTCAGCTGATCTTTGGCTGTTGGGCCTGGATAGTTGTTCCTACATTTCACTTTTCATCACTGAGCCCCTTGAAACAAGGCAAAATCGGTAATGAATGCCATCACCTAATGTAGAAAGCAAGCCCAAAACCCTTGGCCCCAGTTGACCTGCATGAGTGCCAGGTTCCAGACAGTGGTCCCAAAACTCACCACTTAACCCTTGTCTCTTCTAGATTCAAGTGGATGAAAAGGGGAAGATTGTGGATGCTAGGTTTAAAACATTTGGCTGTGGTTCTGCAATTGCCTCCAGCTCATTAGCCACTGAATGGGTGAAAGGAAAGACGGTAAGGTTGCTCACAAATCTGACAGAATGAAATTGCATTGGCCCCACGCCTGTCTCTCGAAGGGTCTAATGGGTCAAAAACAAGCAATCATGGGTTTTTTTTCATATTCTAATTTTTTTTTAATTTCTCCTACACAGATGTTGATTATCAATTCTTCAAACTGGGAATTAGATCTTTCTACTAGGTGTCGGGATTTTTTTGTTGTTGATCATTTTTATTTGTTAGTTTGGGTGTGTTCTGTTAATTACATACAGAAAAGACCCTCACCTGTCCCTCTAACAAAATAGAATTTAAAAGAAACGTCTTGGCTTTCTCTCAGGTTACTGATGCTCTTATAATTTCTCAAGTCAGAGAGTTGTTGTATGATAATTATTTTCTTGTTTATGTCCTCTCATCATGTTACAGGAAAGATTCTAGGTGGCTTACAGGAAATGGTGAAATAAACTAGCCTGTGTTAAAAGAGAGATTAAAGAATCAAAAATATGGCAAGGGTGGGAGCAAAATGAACAACGAAATCAGAACAGTGATCCAAGTGGCTGATCGCAGGTCCTCTAAAGGCAGAGAGAATAAAGAGCTAGAACTTCTTTTCTATCCCTTTCTCTCCCAAGTGTCTTTCCCCAGTAGCTGCAGACGTAAAAGGTCCCAAACTCAGTGAAGAGTTGGACTTTCTAAAATCCAGTTGCTGTCAAAACTTCTCAGATAAGCCAACCGGCAGGGCATTCATCTTTGCTGCCCCAGGGGACCCAGTTTTAAGGAGCTGAGTCATAGAGGAGCATGCTTGGGAGCTGGCCAGCTCCACAGCAGAGCGGTTTGCCAGGCCACGTGCCACCTGCTTCCTATGGCTCAAGGCCTGGCTGGCAAGTTCCTCTGGGCCAGGAAGCTCAGACCTAACCTGCTCTGGCAGGAGGTAGCTCTGAAGGGATTTGTTAGGAACTGTCCTTAGGGGAAAGGAGAAATGAGACAAGGCACCTATGCTCCCAGAACCTGTCCCATAGGGGACTGTGAACTGTGATCAGAAAATGGGAGAGAGGACATTTCTTTAACCTTAAGATCTCCCATATGAGTTTCAGGAGCAGAACTTGAATCAACCAAGAGGGGTTAGCAGAATTGGGAAATTGGGGGATAGTCAGACATAGCCAGGGAGTCCGGCTGTTGGAAGATCTGGCTTTCTCTAAGGCAATGGGGCTCTGTTCCACATTGGCGAGGACCCACCTGCCTCACATCATCCCCCAGGGCTGTCAGCCAGACCCCGGGCATCCACTTCAGTTGATATGGAGGAGATGCCCCAAAGAAAGCGCTCAGCCTGACCCGGCTATACCACTGCCACAGTGCCACTTACCTGACATCTTCCCAACCTCTCTGATGCCATTTGGCACTTCAAGTCAAAAGGATTTATTCTAACATTTCATATGGAATGTTAGGACATCAGAAAAGCTGATATTCACAAAACCAGCATAGGAAATCACTACCTTTTAAGGAAAAGATTTCTGTTATAGGCCACAAGCAGATCCCTAAGAGACTTCTTACAGGTTCCTTCCTGGCTTATAGAAGTGTCTGGGCTGTCTTTGCTTACCCAGGCCAGGCAGTGTAGCTGTGTATACTTCATACTTGAGAATCTCAGCTGCAGCTTTGATACAGTGGGAGTCCTGAGAAGACCCTTAGCCCTTTGTTTGAGTTGTTAAACAGAAATCATCCCCACCAACCCTGAGGGCCTCTTTGGCCTCCCTTTTTTATTGTCCGGGGCTCGCAAGATAAAGCTTTGCTAAAACTGCCCATCTTTCCATTATGCCTCTCAGGTGGAGGAAGCCTTGACTATCAAAAATACAGATATCGCCAAGGAGCTCTGCCTTCCTCCCGTGAAACTGCACTGCTCCAGTAAGTCTGCTCTCAGTGCCAGCCAGCTGGGACACTTGGCACTAATTTTGGCTTGAATTTGCAACAGTCCTTTTAGGTCATGGAGCCCATCTTTATAACCCTCAGAATTAGAGCTCATGAGTCTGTCCTTATAACCTCAGAGGGTTAGAGCCCCCATGGTCTCACATTCATCTCTAAGGGAATCATGCCAGAAGGAGGTACGTACCAACCATCATACTAAGCACTTGATGGGTATAATTTCTAAACCTCCGAAATATCCCTGAGTGCACAGTAGGTGTCATTACTTCCCTCTTGTGGATGAAGAAGCTGAGGCTTGGGTTGAGACACCCACATCACATGGCCAATAAGTGGGAGAGCCAGAATTTAAGCTCTGATCTTTCATCCCAGAATCTGCCGTTTCCAGCAAAGGAGAAGACTCAGCTTTCTGCATAATCCTGTTTCCTGTGTATTTCATCACTTCCTGTCTGGAAGCTATTTCTGTTGGAGTCTGTTTCTGTCTATATGGAACAGCTAAGCCCAGTGGTACAATGTTCCCCTCTCTGCTATCCTTAAAAAAAGCCCAGATTCAGCCGGGCGTGGTGGCTCAAGCCTGTAATCCCAGCACTTAGGGAGGCCGAGGCGGGTGGATCACAAGGTCAAGAGATCGAGACCATCCTGGTCAACATGGTGAAACCCCGTCTCTACTAAAAATACAAAAAATTAGCTGGGCATGGTGGTGCGTGCCTGTAATCCCAGCTATTCAGGAGGCTGAGGCAGGAGAATTGCCTGAACCCAGGAGGCGGAGGTTGCGGTGAGCCGAGATCGCGCCATTGCACTTCAGCCTGGGTAACATGAGTGAAACTCCGTCTCAAAAAAAAAAAAAAAAAAAAAAAGCCCAGATGCCGTAAGACTTGTACTTGGCTTTCCAGTTGGGTCTCTCTATTACGTCTAATTGGGTTTTTTTTTAATCATTTCTTAACCTTCTCACGGAAAGAAGGAATGAGAAACAGCCTTAATGCATCAATGGAGGTTTGCTAACTAAATTAGTTAAAAATCAGCAGAGAGGCCTCTTGCCAGGGTAATACTCACAGGAGAAGAGCCAGGTGCTGGGGTAGACACGCTAACTCATTCTTCAGGAAGCCTGGTCAGACCCAAGTTCTTTCCACTTGATCTGGAATTTTAAGTACCCATAAAGAAACATCGCTTGTAAACATTTTCGTGTGGTTTCAGGAAAATCCCAGCCCTTTTATTAGGCCTTTTTAGATACTGAAACCTTTAGCTGATGTTCTCTGCTATTTGCTTGCTTTCTGCTGTCCTTCCAGCTCCCTTTTTATTTTCCCTATAGCCTCACTTTGAATATTGACTCCTAAATAAAAGTGGTCAAACTCTCGATCACTAGAGGGTGATATGGCAAATGCCATCCCATCAACAGATTGACATGATCTTTTTCCAAAGGACATGTCAACTTTTTATCATAACATGATTTTGTCCAAAGCCAGACTTTAATGGGAGCAGGTGAGAACTAACATTTGCTGTGTCCCTACTATATGTCAGACATCTTCTCTAAGTCCCCACACTATCCTGGCAAGAAAAGCGTGATTATCCCAGTTCTATAGAAAGGTTGGAAGAGGCTAAGGAATTAGCCTGGGATCACAGATATTTAAACCCTAGTCTGTCTCCAGGGTCACCCACAGGAGTAACTCCGCTCAGGAGGCAGCTCCTGACCTGCCCAGCTACTCCTCTCCCCAGCTTTCTGGCTTGGTTACCCCGTTAGTCCCTACCAGCACCACTGCCTCCCAGCTCTTAAAGATTGTATTCCCAAGACCATTTCTTCTGCATCTAGAAACTAAGGCTGCTTTCCTTATATTACTTCTAGTGCTGGCTGAAGATGCAATCAAGGCCGCCCTGGCTGATTACAAATTGAAACAAGAACCCAAAAAAGGAGAGGCAGAGAAGAAATGAGCCCTCCCTGGGCGAAGCCTCCAGCAGGCTAAACCAGCTGTTTCCCACCTGCTGTGCAATCACCTTAGATGTTCAGAAGCCGCTCCCTCTGCACTGAAGAGCTATGAGATACGCACAATACTTTCTGTTCATGTTATGACTTATGCAAGCAAAATACACAGTTTCATTGTTCTGAATCCATGGTTTCTTTCAGCCCACTCTACCGCCTTAACCTAGTTAATGTATATTTTGAATTGTGTGTATGGCCTCAGAACTGAAATTGATAATGAAGTCTCAAGTTTTGATAGCCTGTGAAGTGCATAAATATGTTAATTTTACCTGAATTGATTTGGGGGGAAATTACCAGTAGAATGCCCTGGTCTGATTATTTGATAGAACCAATTGTTGTACATAAAACAGATCTGCATATATATATATATATATATATATATAAAATAATAAAATAATGGAATGATGATGGTGTTCTCTAGTAAGCCTTGTCTCTTGGGCCCATCATTCACTCCAAAGTGGTACCCAAAGCCACTTAGAGTTCCCAAAGTCTGGACTGCAATGGCATACACAGCTCTAAGCAAACAACAGTAAAGGTCATGGACAAGATTTTTTCCAAAGACAAATATACGTAATTTTTTTTGGAAAAAGGATGAAAGGAGATGATTATCACTTTTCATTGTTCTTTGTGAGATAATAGTCGGCCGCTCAAAGTGAGTCTTGATGATTCTTTTTATAATTTCACTAGTTGCTGAAATCTAAGACGCACTGGTTTAGCACCCTAAAGTGGTGGACCAGATACGTCAAGAGCATCTGCGGAATGAGTTTACAAGGCAGATTTCTAGGCCCACAGTTCTAACTTCTGTCTGGGCAGATGACTCTAGAGCCCCTAATATTTAAGAACCTCCTGGGTCTTTTGCGGTCACAAGTGAGCCAAACTTTAGGGAATAAACTTCCGAATGTTCTGCTCTGCACAGCTGTAGTATTCAAGTGGTTCATTCTGAACTGTCTGTACCTGCACAGTGTACTTAAGGTTGTTTAAAAAAGATTCATCCCTGGCTGGGGCATAAATGAGTCTAATCATGTCCCTCCTACCCTGATGTCTCCCTATTCTTGGCTATCCTTAGTCATGCAAATCTCAATAAGGATGCCCTATCTTCTAGTGAAAATGGGTTATTGAGATATTGACTACCACCGTCTCAAATGTTCAAAAGTAAAATGTTTGTTTTTTCTGGTGGTGGCTTTTTTTGTTCAGGCGTAGGCTGGCTGCCTCTTCTCTTAAATATACCTCCTTTTTTTTTTCTTTTATGCTCTGGGTTCTGGTTGAGGGCACAGAACTTCAAAGACTGTTCCCTCTGTAGGCAGTCTGTGAAGGCAGCCACAGACCAGGGCCTTTATAGGAATCCCAAATTAGAACCCTGGGTAGAACCATGTAAAATTGTCCTGTGTGGCGCGTTCTGCTATTTAATTCACAGTCCCTCTAGGCTGAGCTTGTCTCTCCCTCCTTTTATTGCATGTGGCACCACCACAATTCCCCACCACTTTTCTTTGTGATTTTTTTGTAATGAGACATTTCTGTTCCCGTTAACGTCCTCAGAGTTGAACATCAGGAGGAGCTTGTAAACAACCAAAGCAATATTCCCAGGGTAGCCCAAGCCTTCAGATGTGGTTGCACTGTTAAAATGAATGGATATTTTTAAAATTCACATTAAGACACCTTTCCCCAAACAAATCTAGTTTGAGCCACACGAGGGCATCCTGTGCCCTTCAGTGAACTCAAGTCTAGGGATTTTTGTAGCTTCGAAATAGGCCTTAGCATCTCTAAATAAATTCCTCCATGGAAGACCTCGACAGACCAGTTAAAATTGTCCGTCAAGCACCCTTGCTCCGTGCCAAGCCCTTATATTTGTAATCCTGTTAATTCTCATGACGGCCCCCCTGCGGTGGGCATTGTTTCAAACAAGGACGCTGGCTTAAGGGGCCAACTGACTCTCAAGCCAGCTGGCTTGACTTGGGTGACCCAAAGCCCATTCTTCTGCCTCACCCCTCCTGGCAGATGACACGAGGGATTCTAAGTGCACATCAGAGGCTCACCTGTGCCTTGAACATTCAATGAAGAAGCTGAACCAACACAGGTTGAGCCTGATGCATTCATTTGGCCAACTTGCTGCCCTCGTGCCAACCCTGGCTTCCACCAGGAGCCTAATTAAATCCTGATGTCAAGTTAAATCCAATGCTCTGGAGGTGGGGCCTGGGCACCGGCATTACCTGATGGGCTGGGTGGGTTTATGGTGGGTGGGTGGGTGGGTGGATGGATGGATGGGGAAGCAGAGGTTCCGAGAGGTGAAATGACTTGCCTCAAGGCACACAGCTAGGAAGTGGTAGAATCGAGCTCTGGCTGAGGTTTTCTGCCCACCTCCACCCCCTCCTGGGTGCCACACTACGGATATGACCACATCTCTTTTTTTTTTTTTTTTGAGACGGAATTTTGCTTTTGCCCTGGCTGGAGTGCAATGGCACTATCTTGGCTCACCGCAAACTCCACCTCCTGGGTTCAACCAATTCTGCCTCAGCCTCCCAGGTAGCTGGGATTACAGACATGCACTACCATGCCCCGCTAATTTTTCCATTTTTAGTAGAGATGAGGTTTCTCCATATTGGTCAGGCTGATCTTGAACTCCCGACCGCAGGTGATCCACCCATCCCAGCCTCCCAAAGTTCTGGGATTACAGGCGTGAACCACCATGCTCAGCCGATATGACCATGTCTGTAATGTAACGTTTCCTAAGTGTGATTCTTGGACCGGGGCCACCTGGGACCACATCCAAATACACAGTTTTAGAACCTCACATTAAGCATTGTCCTGTAAAAACGACTTGTCTCTTTTTCTTAAAAAGATAAGAAAATGAGGCTCACTTCTCTATACTTTAGGCCCCTTAAACTTGAGGCAAGAGTGCAGACCTTGTATCTATCCTCATAACAGCAGAGAAGACTTCTAGGTCCCACCAAGTTTTGGTGGCATTAGAGGGCCCCTACAGATGAGTTCCAGCCCCAACCAAAGATAGACGTGGAGCATGTCCCCTGCCAATGGCTCTTTGTGGCCTGTCTGCTTGCTTTCCCCGCCCTCCGAGATGACATCAGCCAGACCCTCAAAAGGCAACCTCCCTGGAGAAGATCATCTCCACCCAGGGAGCAAGCAGCAGGGCAGAATGGAGTGAGCTTAGAGCGCTGACTCAAATGCTGGCCACCACTGTGTGACCCCGAGCAAAATACTCAACCTCCCCAAGCCTCAGTTTATTCATCTGCAAAATGGGAACGATAATAGTGCATACCTAAGCAGGTAGAGGTGATGATTAAATGAGATAATACATGGAAAGCACATGGCACATAAAGAGTGCATTGTTGGCCAGGTGCAGTGGCTCATGCCTGTAATCCCAGCACTTTAGGAGGCCAAGGTAGGAGGATTGCTTGAGCCCAGCAGTCTGAGACCAGCCTGTGAGGCAGGATAGGGAGTCAAGGAAGTGACCATGTCCTCGAAGTGCAGCATCCGTGGTGACCATTCAGTCAACACAATAAGCCCAGGCATTCGTATTGTAATTGACTTCACTCAAGCAAAACTATCTTCAGAAAGGACTTTTCCCTCCAGAGAGCATGCGCACTTTGATTTTACCGGTCCTCAAACTGACTCTTTGCTCACTAAAATAGTAAAAACGAAACACCCCTGGATGGAGATTCAAGATGCTAATGAGACAGGTGACGTATGAACAAGCATGCTGTGCATGGGCACCGAGAGGACTGCCCAGAACATGCTTACTAGTATAGTAACGCCTCTCCCAACTCGTTGTGAATAATCATGTAAAACCCCCGTAAAGGAAGTCTCCCAGCAATAATCAATGCTGTCTTTTCCTTACAAGCAGCCTGCCCTGAATCCCCTCTCTCTCAGGGTGTCCTGTCCTTTCTGTACCTAACTTTCAAAATGTTCTTTTTCCTCTGCAATAAATTATACTGCACCTCCCCTTTGCTGTGTGTCTCTTCTTTAAATTCTTTTAAACTAAGAAGATAAGAACTGAGATCTCACAACAGCTGTCAACAGCTGGGCAAGATGGCAAGACCCCATCCCTACAAAAAAAATGAAAAATTAGCTGGCTGTGGGGGCATGCACCTGTAGTCTCTGCCACTTGGGATTCTGAGGTGGGAGGATCCCTTGAGCACAAGAGTTCAAGGATGCAGTGAGCTGTGATGGCACTACTGCCCTCCAGCCTGGGTTAGTAAGTGAGACCCTGTGTCAAGAAAAAAACAGCTGGGCACAGTGGCTCACGCTTGTAATCCCAGCACTTTGGGAGGCCAAGGTGGGTGGATCACAAGGTCAGGAGTTCGAGCCCAGCCAATATGGTGAAACTTTGTTTCTACTAAAAAACATAAAAATTAGCTGGGCATGTTGGCATATGCCTGTAGTTCCAGCTACTCAAGAGGCTGAGGCAGGAGAATCTTTTTGCTGGTGGAGGGTCTTGCCTCAATGCTGACAGCTGCTGACTGGTCAGGCTAGAGGTTGTTGAAGGTTGAGGTGGCTGTGGCAGTCTTTTTTTTTTTTGAGTCTTGCTGTCACCCAGGCTGAAGTGCAGTGGTGCGATCAACCTTGGCTCACTGCAACCCCCGTCTCCTGGGTTCAAGCAATTCTCCTGCCTCAGCCTCCCAAGTAGCTGAGATTACAGGCATGCGCCACCATGCCTAGCAAATTTTTTTATTTTTAATAAAGGTGGTGTTTTATCATGTTGGCCAGGCTGGTCTTGAACTTCTGACCTCAGATGATCCACCCTCCTCAGCCTCCCAAAGCGCTGGGATTACAGGTGTGAACCACTGCTCCCAGCCGCAACTTCTTAAGACAACAGTGAAGTTTATCACTTTGCTTGCCTTTCCTTTCACAAAAGATTTCTCTATAACATATGGTATTACTTGATAGCATTTTACCCACGGTAGAACTTCTTTCAAAACCGGAACCAATTTTCTCAAACCCTGCCGCTGCTTCACTAAATTTCTTCTTTCTTTCTTTCTCTTTCCTTCCTTCCTTCCTTCTCTTTCTCTCTGTTTCCCTCCCTCCCTCCGTCCCTCTCTCCCTTCCTTCCTTCCTTCCTTCCTTCTTCCTTCCTTTTTTTCTTTCTTTCCTTATTTTGAGTCAGTCTTGCTCTGTCACCAACCTGTAGTTCAGTGGCACGACATCCACTCACTACAACCTCTGCCTCCTGGGTTCAAGTGGTTCTTGTGCCTCAGCCTCCCGAGCAGCTGGGATTATAAGCATGCGCCATCACGCCCAGCTAATTTTTGTATTTTTATTAGAGACAGGGTTTCCTCATGTTGACCAGACTTGTCTTGAACTCCTGACCTCAAGTGATCTGCCCACTTTGGCTTCCCAAAGTGCTGGGATTACAGGCATGAGCCACCATGACCAGCCCACCAACTATATTTATGTAA